CCGGACAGGCAGAAAATGGGCAGACTTCGTAAGGCGATCCACTATCACCCAAATCGGATCACAACCGCTCTTTGATCTCGTCAATCCAACCAAGAAATCCATAGTGATGCAATCCCACTTCCACTGGGGAACCTCCAGAGGCTGCAACAATCCTCTCGGTTTCTGGCGCTCCGCCTTCACTTGCTGACACACCAGGCACCCATCCACAAACTTTGCCGTCTGCCTCTTCATGCCTCGCCACCAGAACGATTTCCTCAGGTCCTGATACATCTTCGTGCTACCAGGATGGATGGTGTACGGGGCACTATGGGCTTCCTTCAAAATCTCTCTCCGCAGTTCCCACACCCTCGGAACACAAAGTCTACCCTCGAAGACCAAGGCTCCATCGGATGCGACTGCGAATCCACCAAATCTACCGGCTGCTGCTAACTCCCTCATCCGGCATAGGAAACGGTCATTCGGTTGCTCGGCGACTATCCTCTCTCGAAGAGTCGGCCCCACAACCAAAGAAGCCAACACACTCCCGGCTGAGGAAGTCGACTCCACTGCCTCCAACTGCAGACGCTCGAACTCCCGAAGAAGGACATTCTGCTGGGTGAACACGCAAGACAACTGGCCATGGCTCCTCCGACTAAGGGCGTCGGCCACCACGTTGGCTTTCCCAGGGTGGTAGCTAATGGTGCAGTCGTAGTCCTTGACCAGCTCCAACCACCTACGCTGCCTCATGTTCAGCTCCTTCTGAGTGAATATGTACTTCAAGCTCTTGTGGTCGGTAAAGATCTCGCACTTGCCTCCATAGAGATAATGCCTCCAAATCTTCAAGGCGTGGACAACAGCGGCCAACTCAAGATCATGAGTGGGGTAGTTCTGCTCGTGAGGCTTCAGCTGCCTCGAAGCATAGGCTACGACTTTCCCTTGCTGCATAAGGACGCAACCCAAACCCATCTTCGAAGCATCACTATAGACGGTGAACTTCAAGGTAGGGTCGGGTATGGCTAGAACCGGTGCTGTAGTGAGTCTCCTCTTCAACTCCTGGAAACTCTCCTCGCACTGTGTACTCCAATCGAACCTCACGATCTTCTTCGTAAGGTTGGTCAGCGGCTGGGCTATCTTTGAGAAACCCTCGATAAACCTCCTGTAGTATCCTGCTAGCCCCAGGAAACTACGAACATCTGCGGCACCTCTTGGCGTATCCCACTTGCTCACCGCCTCGATCTTGCTGGGATCCACCTCAATGC